TGATCTCCACATACATACCCCTCAAGTACTAGGATTAAAGGCTTGAGATGCATGCCAGTCTTATTTTTGTTTGTTTAGCCAATAAAAAGAAGTTTTACAAAAAAAATAAATAAATAATTGTAGGGGCTGGTGAGATGGTTCAGTGGGTAAAGGAATCTGTCACCAAGTCTGTCGATCTGAGTTTAGTGCCTGGGGCCCACACGGTGGAAGGAGAGATGGACTCTTGCAAGCTGTCCTGGAACTCTGCCCACAGCGGACACCTGCATCAATTAACCACCACGAAAATGCCCACGGGGCGGGAGGGATGGCTGGGTGGTGAAGAGCACGTGGTGTGCATGCACACAAGGTACACCCACAAAGGATTTTTTGAGACAGGATCTCATTGTATATCTCTGACTAATGTGGAATTTTATATATAGACCAGGCTGGCCTTGAACTCACAGAGATCCACCTGCCTCTGCCTCTCAGGTGCTGGGATCAAAGATGTGTACCACCACCAGAAGCCTTAAACAGTTTTTTGTGTTTTCCTTGTGTGTGTGTGTGTGTGGTTTTTTTTGGGGGGGGGATTGGGGGGAGGTGCTGGGAATCAAACCCAGGACCTTGCACTCACCAGGCAAGCACCCTACTTCTGAGCCACACCCACAGCCCCTGGCTTTTTGAGCCAGAGCTTCACTATATATCCAGGCTTGTCTCTAATGGAGCATCCTTCTGCCTCTGTCTACCAAGTGCTGGTGGGTGTTACAGGTGTGTGCCACACAGCTTGCTGAGAACACTGGCCTCTGAAGATAGAGGGGCAGAGGACAGATTCAGTGTCCCCAGGAAATCCGCCCATCATGCTTACCGAGCTGGCTCTTTCTCAGGCTGAAGATTTGCCACCTGGGCCAGGCTGCCTGTGAAGATCTGGCCTTCAGCCTCAGCATGAACCAGAGCCTGATGGAGCTGGACCTAGGTCTGAATGACCTTGGGGATCCCGGAGTGCTTCTGCTGTGTAAGGGCCTCGGGCACCCAGACTGCAAACTCCAGACCCTCCGGTGAGTGGGATTCCCCATTCAGCATCCCTGCCCTGTCTTCTCTTCACGGAGGCCATGGTGCCTCCCATTTCACCAGCTCCAGCTACAGAATCTTGCTGTCCAGATTTCCTGCCACGGGGCCCTGACCCAAGTCACTGACATCCCGGGACAATGCCCTTCTGCTCTGCTGTCCATTCAGTTTCTAGGGAAGACTGACTCATCTTTCAGGTCTCAGAACAAATACTACTGACCCGAGTGTACCCTCTACTCTAGTTGGCTTTCTGTTACTGTGATAATCAGCATGACCAAAAGCAACTTGGGGAGGCAAGGGTTTAATTTTAGCCCACAGGTTATCACCGAGGGGAGCCAAGGCAGAAGCCTGAAGCAGAAAACAAATCACAGAAGAACGCTGTCTACTGGATGGTTCCCTCCGGCTTGCTCTGCTGGCTGTTTTTATACAGCCCAGGCCTCCTGGCCTAGGGATAGACTACCCACAATGGGCTCCTGCCATCAATTAACCATCATGAAAATACCTACTGTGGCTTGAGAGAAGCCTCAGCAATTAATAGCACTTGTTGCTCTCACAGAGGACCTGGGTTCTGTTCCCAGCACCCACATTGTGGCTCACAACCAGCTGTCTATAACTGACCACCTGTAACTCCAGTTCCAGATCTAACACCCTCCTCTGGCCTCGGAGGGCACCAGGCATGCACGCTGATGCACGTACATGTAGGCAAAATACTCATACACATTAAAGTAAAAATACATGGTTGTTTTTTTTTTTTTTAAGGTGTGTTCTTAGCCTAGCATGGTAGCGCATGCCTTTAATCACAGCACTTGGGAGGCAGAGGCTGGCGAATGTCTTTGAGTTCCAGGCCAGCCTGATCTTTATAGTGAGTTCCAGGATAGCCAGGGCTGTGTAGTGAGACCCTGTTTCTAAATAAATAAATTGCCCCGGTCTACACAGAATGTTGGCCTACATAGTGAGAGCCTGTCTCTAAATAAATAAATCACCCTGGTCTACACAGAGTGTTCCAGAACATCCAGGGCTATATGACTCAGAGGGAAAAGGTGTTTTGCTGGCAAGCCTAAAGACCTGAGTTCAAATCCTGAGACCTACTAGGTGGAAAAAGAGAACTCCCACAGGTTGTCTTCTGATCTCTTCACCAGCATGTGTGGCAAGCCAGCATGTGTACAGATGAACACACACACACACACACACACACACACACACACACACACACACACACTTCCTGTGTGTTAGGGCTTTGTGTATGTTAGGCACGTACTCTATCCAGCCCTTACCTTTCTTCATTAAATTTAAAAAGTGCTATATATTTGGCTTTTTGCCTATATGTATGCATGTGACCAAGTGGCATGCCTGGTAACCACAGAGGCCAGAAGTCCGATTTCCATTGCCTAGGATTGGAGTTACAGCCAATTTTGATCTGCCTAGGCCCTTGCTTCTGGTCCTGTCTTCCTCTCTGCCGTCTCCCCTTTCTCTCTCAAAGGTGGGCAAAGCCACTCCCCTGCACCCAGCATACAAATTTGCCGCTTAAGCCCAGCCCCGGTGACATTACCTAAAGGCATAGGGCAAACTCGGTTTGGCCATTCCTCCCTTCTAGGTTGGGCATTTGCCGGCTGGGCGCAGACGCATGCTCAGGGCTTGCCCGAGTGCTCCAGGTCAACTCTTGCCTCCGAGAGCTGGACCTGAGCTTCAATGACTTGGGAGACAGGGGCCTGTGGCTGCTGGGGGAAGGACTGCGGCACCCGTCCTGCAGACTCCAGAAGCTGTGGTGAGTGCTTTCCTTGGGAGGAGAGGGGACAGGAGTAGAGCGGGATGCTAATGGAGGGGACAGCTTTTCCTTTTGTGTTCATGTGCTGCTTCCCGAAACCCTTTGGAAAAGGCAAACACAGATGAAAAGACAGCGTGTGGGCTGGGGAGGGGAGTCCTTTCAGAAATTCCCTGCCTAGTAGCCGGAAGCTAGCTGTGGGTAGCATCCCCAGCGCTGAAAAAGTTGGGCCTGATGGCTTCTACCCAGTGATGACAGCGTTTGGGGGTGGGTGGGGGTGGAGGCAGGCGAATCAGAAGTGAATAAATAAAGGTTTAAATTATTTTATTTGTTATTCGAGACGGACTTACTATGTAGCCCTACTCGTTATGGAACTCACTATGTAGATCAGGCTGTACTCACACTCAGAGATCTCCCTGCCTCTGCCTCTAGAGAGCTGGGATTAAAGGTGTGCACTACCACACCTGGCTTTTTTTTCTTTTTCTTTTTTAAGTGTGCCAGGCGTAGACCCAACCACTGTGCTTAAGGGACCCAGATTGCTTCTGTTTCCCATCAGGCACTGCTCCCGTAGGTTCTTCCCTTTGAATTGTTATACACGGACAGCCAGCTTGTCTCTGTCCACAGAACTAGGGGACTGAACTCAGGCTTCACAAATGCTGGACAAGTGTTGGCGTATCCCCAGCCTCCTGCTTTGAAACAGGGTCTTACAATATAGCCCAGACTGGCCTCGAATTTGGAGTCCGCCCATTAGCAACTTAGATCTCCAGAACCAGAGTTCAGGTGGAAAGAATCAAGTCC